TGGGCGTGACTCAGCACCCCAAAACTGCCCCTCGGCGGCATACAGCACTGCCAGCCAGCCTCTTCCTCCTCCTCAAGGGCTGTACTATAGGCCATATTGCGCCGCCTCCTACTGGCAGCCGGGCGGGCGCGCGCCGCGCGCGCCTCGGCGCGCGCACAGCTCGCAAAGTTCGAACGAGTACTGCCGCCCGGCCGCCTCAAGGCTGCCGGGCGGCAGTACTCGCCTCGCAAGGCGCGCACCGGCTGCTCTGGCTGCTGCGCCGGCGGCCGCTGCGCTGGCCGCTGCTGCGCCGGCTGGCGGGCGGTACGGCCGCCGGCGGCCGCTGCACCCGCGCCTTCCCTCGCGGGCGCCGTCGCGCCGCGCGCGCCCAACTCTGCTGGTACACGGCACGCGTCGTCACTCAGCCGCGGAGAACAGGCGGTCAGGCGGTGCTGTGCGCGAAGCGCGCGTGATCTCGTACTTTCAAGGCTGGATCCGGCCATTCCAAGGGTATACCTTTGAGAATCCCCAGCGTCCCACCCTCCTAGTCACACTCTCAATATCTCGACTGGCCAACACGAAGTGCTGCGATCGGGGGTGGCCCATTTCTTTTTTTCTTTTCTTTTTTTGGGTCCTGTGGGCACCCTACCACTGCGCGCCGGCTCGAGCGCCTATTGCCAAATCGCGACTTTCGAGCGCAGTGCACGCGCCCCACACGTCACGCGCGCGCAGGAGAGCTTGCGGCAGAGCAGTACCGTATACTCGCCGGAGGCATCGCGCCGAAAACCCCGCGCATTCCACCCCAACAGAGCTCAGAGGCTGCAGGAGGCAGATGGCCAATAGCGACCATCGTTACGAAATGTTGCCTCTCCGGGAGCTCTCCAAGCTGTCTTGGGTGGTCAGGCCGAAGCGCGCACGCGATTTCTTTCTTTCTGCAATTCTCTTGCCATTAGAGCAGAAAACAAAGTCCTTCTCCGGGGTGGGGCGCGCGCGGGGGGGGGGCGGGTGTGCGGGATGTCTGTGGGCCCGAGAGCGATGTGCATATGTTCGCCTTGCGTTTGTTTTCATAACATCGAAGGCTAGCTCAAAGAAAATAAGAAGTGTTTTTAGCGCCGTTTCGTTCGCGTCGTTTCGCCGCCAACCGCTCTCTTCGGGGGAGGGGGCGCCGCGTCGCGGCACCCGGAGCCGCGCTGGCCGATGACGTCGTGCAAGGATGCCATCAAGGCGTGGGAGACTGCGCAAAGCGTCGTTGCCGCTGAGGCGGAGGACGTCCGCCTCTGTCCGATCGCGCTGCAGCTGCCGCTCATCACAAAGATGGACGGAGCGCTTGGCACGCTCAAATCGTGCAAGCACCTGAGGCTCTCGACGAACGCGATCGACAAGATCGCGAATCTGAACGGGCTCGACAACCTCGAGATCCTCTCACTCGGCCGCAACTCGCTCAAGTCGATCAACGGTCTCGACCCTGTTGCTGACACGCTCAAGCAGGCATGAGCCGAGGCATGAACCAGAAGCCATATGCACCGGCGGTTAGCCCAGCTGCGCCCCACAGTGGGCCGTAGCCGCGCCTTTGCTCCCCTCGCCCATCGCTCTTTCTCTCCACCTTTACTCTGCCTGTCTCCCGCCTTCACACTGGCCTGCTG